TATATATATATGACAAACGTATATTAGTGAAATGAGTGTATTAGAGTATTCTCTTTTGATTAAAAAAATAAATTATTCCACTTTGCTTATCCTCTTGGAAAGATGTTCTGCATGGCGTTGTGGCTTACTCAAATAAATACAAAATTAATACAATATGCTTAAAAGCATGAATAATACTAATACACAATATCACGACCAAAGTCAATCGACTCACCACTGCGCATCTGGCCACCACTGTGACTGTTCAGCCCTCTGTTACTGAGCTGACGTTAAATAAACGCATAAACTTTTGGTCGAACTTTTTTACGTCAAAAGTATTTACAGTTTGACGTTCTTCCTACACGCTCAATAGGCCTATTTATATATATATATATATATATATATATATATATTGCGCAATGATCAGTTTGTGCCTTGACTTCGCCATGGAAGCACCAATTTAAGAACACTGGCTCTTGCTTTAGCCTTCAGGCGAAAAAACACGAAAAAGGAACGAAAGTGGAGAAAAAAGGGGTTTCTACTCTTTAGATGGCGCGATGATGATATTTTCTATCCCACGTCGAATAACAAAATTCTGTTTATGTGTGCGCAAAATATAGATGGGGTACCACATGTACGCACAAATAATTTGATGGTTTAAGCAACAACAACAAAAGTAAAATAATAATACAATTTTAAAAATAATTTTCTGGATATACAGTACTCAAAATTTTGACATCAATGCTTTTAGGACATCAATATCAGCAATACTACACGATTTTTAAAAGATGTCAAATAATTTGACAAAAAAAATCTTTACAAAAAAAGGATACCCCAGTGCCACCAACATTAAACAAGCCACTGTGAGTCTGGGCTCACTAACCCCTGGATCCCCCAGTAGTTTGTTTGGTTTGGTTTGGTTGTTGTAGTTGTTGTCGCTGTTGTCGCTTTTTAAAAGAAGATATACTCTCCCATTGACACAATTTTGATCTTTTTGGTGGAGTACCAACCGCGGCTGAGAGATCTAACTGTATCTCAGCAGAAAGATATATACTGCGAAAACCAAGAATTTACTCCCAACTCGGGAATCGAACTCGTGTCTCCTGTGTGCGACAGCGAAGCGCCTAACCGCTAAACCATAGAGGCTGGTCCTATTTGTTATGATAATCTATCTATCAATCAATCAATCAATCATACTCCACTTCATTCACTCAGCTGTTTCAGCCTGTATAATATGTTCTCTAATTATTATATGCACTATGTGACCGTTTTTGTGTCGACGTGCTTCTCTTTACTCAAACGAACAGACAGACAAACAATTTTGCCGACAATTTAAAGAGTTCAGCCATTTGAGCCCCTAGTTTTAGGAATAATATTATGAGAAAAGAACCCCCCCCCCCCCCGTCTCTCTCTCTCTCTCTCTCTCTCTCTCTCTTTCTCTCTCTCTCTCTCTCTCTCTCTCTCTCTCTCTCTCTCTCTCTCTCTCTCTCTCTCTTGCACACACATTCTCTTATCCTCTCTTATCTCTCTCGCACTCTCTCGTAAGGAAGTGCTGATAAACGCAAATGTAAAGCCCGTTGGACAGCTCAGGGGTACGGAATTCCTCCACTCAGAGACAACATGGCGACCTTGATACGCAAAGTCCACCAGCTGAAGCTTTCAAAGGTAGGCCTGTATTATTAGATGAAGTATAAACACTAACTGAACCCCTGTGCGCTTTGATTATTGCCAGTTTCAATCGAATATGCTTTGACTTTGAGTGTTTCATCTGTGTACTTTTGTACATAAATGATATGCCAAAGCTGATGATGTCAAGTTCAAGATCACCAAAATTTCACGTTGTGTTGTTCGCATTATTCAGCAAGCAGAGTACACACACGTATGACTTTTCTAGTCTACAACTTACACTCCACCTCAACAGCTTACCTCTTGTCATTTTAAGAATAATGAAATAGCTTTGAGAAACAGTTATTAAAGTGATAGTGAAAACAAACTTTCATGATCTAGATTCTAGATCTAGAATCTAGGCTTCTTTACTTCTTGATCCTGTTCTTTGACTTTGTTGACACTTTCGAAAGTCTTTGAATTTTGAAGTGACTAAGTTGTTGACTTTGACTTTTTTGTTAGTTATAGATCTAGAATCTAGATCTAAATCTAGATCTAGACTCTAGATCTAAATTCTATTGATAGAATCTAGACTCTATATCTAGATCTAGATCAAGAATCAAGTTGGAAAGTAGATAAGGAGGTCCCCTAAGACCTAACCTAAGAAGCAAGAGTGATAGTTGGAAAATGGTTTATTAGATCTAGAATCTAGATATATCAGAGTCTAGATCTAGAATCTAGTTTTGTTTGTGTTTTTTAAACGTTATATTGACCACGCAAGTGTATTGCACTTTTTTACAATTTCAATCTCAATTTTTATAGAGGCCAGGGCAAAGTCGACTTTAAGCCCAAGGTCGACGCTGGGACCCTCATTTACCAGTCGCTCGTGACTCTCGACTCTTGGTTAGGCCTACCTAGCGTAGCCTTGATCTAGACCAGCCTCCCCTGCCCTTCAACGGGGAGTCGTCAACGTTGGTGGTGGGTGTGGCGAAGTTAGAGCAAGCCAAGAAAAAAAAGTTTTTATCAAGATTTAGGCCCTAGACCTAATAGTATCAAAAGATGAAGTGAGAGGCTGGCTGGCCTGCTCGTCGTGCAGTGCTTGCGTGCCAGTCGTTGTCACCGTCACTGGATCAATTTTTTTTTACCAAAGGGAAGTAACAAGTAAAATGCCAATGCCACTCGATTTCAAAATCCCACGTTTGTTATCCGAAGCCGGAAGTCGAAGAGCTAAAAATAGAATTAGTCAGCCCAAAACCTTCTATGACAGCATTAGGAAGTTGTAACTTCACTTTGAAGTCAAGGTCAAAGACACAGTCTCTGTCGCCTTTTAGAGTTTGACGAAAACGTTGAGTTGATGTTCCAACTTTCTTTTATTGTCCGACTTTGCCATAGCTTAAATTTTAATGATGATAAAATGTCATTGAATATTGAATTGCTGCTGCTGGATGATTGCTCCTTATAGGCTTTAAATTCCTCTAGATCTAGATCTATACCCATACATGGCCTCCTATTTAACATAAAATTAGTGTCTAGATTTAGAAAATAATTCAGATTTGATCCGCTTTCATGGTCCTAAATTTTATTCCCCCGTTGGGCTTCTCTGACATGTTATCCAGATGAAAGTAGGCCTACTTCGTTTTGTTTTGATGTTCGACATTACATGTGGTATTCAGTTGCAGGATCTGGTCTGGTTGATTAATATAGCAGCTGTCAAGTGCACACTAGGAGACCCCTACCTTGCTTATCCCTGAAGTTAAAGCAGAGAACTTTGATAGAGCTATCAGCCTCTCGAATTCAACATCTTATTAAATTGCATTCCACACTCTTGACAAAAGATCTGACCTTGGCTTTATGACTTGTAGACGTGTAACTCACCCCACAAATTTTGACGCTTACGACTCGTAACACTGAAAAAGATATACTTTTGATTTTGAAGTACACTTAAAACTTTCTGGATTCGGTCGAGTGTGCTAAAACGGCAGCTTTTGTTCCTTCATTCGTGAAGGAAAATCTGGCTGGGCAGGATCGAATCAGTTGAATAAAATAGTATGCACTGTATATATTAGAATCTAGTAGCAATTGAATTGTCGTCATGATGATAACAGTCATGTGACAGTGAGTTTTGACTTTGAGTACTTATTTTAAGAGTAGCACAGTTTAAAAGACTTTCATTTTTGTTTTGTTTTTTTGCAGGGTGTTGTTGGCCCCCTTATAAACCAGGTGCGATGTCTCAATTTACAAGAGTTTCAAAGCAAAAAATTGATGGCCGATAATGGAATCACAGTTCAACAGTTTGAAGTTGCAGACACCAAGCAGGATGCGCCTTCCATTGCGTCCAAGCTCAGTAAGTGGTCAAAAAGACAGCTTTAGAGAAGAGAGTCAAGACTATTTCAGAGTTTGATTTATATATATACATAAATTATCCTACCTGGGATTGCTTTAACTGTAAAGTTTTAAAGCACTCTTTAATAGTAACTAGCATCATGTTTTGATTTTTAGGGCTGTTTGCAGGTGTATGAATGCGTATGTTTGTTACACACTGTTAGCGGGTTTTCTCTAATAGATTAAAGACTGTGGGGGCTTTTAAAACTTATATGATTTACTTTGAACTTCAGAATTGATCACTTGTTTTCTATATTTTGTCAACTTTATTGGTTGAGAATAGAGTAGAGAACCTCACAACCAATGTCTGTCTGAAAATGTTCCTTTTGGGGAACAATGTTTTTCATTTCTTTGAAGTTTTATTCATTTTGATATTTTGAATTCTGTTTCAGATGTGAAAGAATATGTTGTTAAAGCTCAGATTCTTGCTGGTGGCCGTGGGAAAGGAACTTTTGACACTGGTTTCAAGGGAGGCGTCCATCTTACAAAAAAGTAAGTCAAAAGTTTTGTCATAGCATATCACGACCCCGGTACTTTTTTGTCGTATCTCCATTTTTAATAATAGTGAAAACAGTAAGAAAGAGTGAGCTTAAGAAGATGTCACATGTTCACTGTTTAAAAAATGGAGATACCATAAGAAAGTACTGAGGTCGCGATATTTTACACATCCTTCTCTTTTACATTTTAAACCTTGCCTTGTTGAGAGGTTTCCTGAACATAACAGAGAAGCTCAATGTACATGTATATTTGTACTTTATGAAGTGTTCAATAGAAACTTAATATCTATTCAAATTGTTCTCTTTTTCAAGCAGAATATTCCTTTCAGTATGGCTTCATGACACCTAAGAACACGTACAAGGTTTTGTGGTATTTCTCAGCAGTTTGGTCTCAGCATGGACATGCTCAAATCACTTTGAATGATTTCTTTCAATTTTGTTACCAGCTAAGATATCTCTGTTTTGTGGGATGCTATATACAGCCGTTGGCATTGAATTATCAAATAATTGTGATGAACACTTTATAAAGTTTTGCTTAGAGGTTTGCTTTGTTCAGTAAAAGCTTGGATTGATTTGAATGTTGAGAGATCACCAGCCATGTTGTTCCGTACTTGTAGAAACGAATGTGTCACGACGTTGTGGAATCAGGTTCTTGTCAAATTTTGGGCATGTGGAGGTATTGATATCATTTGAAAGCTTGTTCATTTGTTCTGCTTCGGATTGAAAAAATATCCATTTATCTTGAATAGAAGTGGAGATATTTGCGAATGAATTAGGTGGGGGTCACCTGGTTTCAGAGGTAAAATTAGTGAGAAAATGGCCGCCAAAGATAAGTTATTTCCTTAGTCTGAGAGTTTGTGGAAACTGAACATTTACATTTTTTGTGCCTTTAATCAACGTTTTTTCCAGTAAAATCCAAAAATCCACAGCTAAAAAAAAAAATTCTATAAAAATTTACAAACTTACTTGTGGAAAAATTTCAGTTTCTTCTCTTTGATTATTTTGATGAGCGCCTGATTTCACCATGCTGCCTTACAAATGTGCTGTGAGCTGAAGCAAAACATGTGGCCCACAAGGGACCTGACCTGATTCTACTTTTTTTATTCATCAACTTCTTTATACTAAAGCCCTTCTGATGTCCAAGGCCTTGTTGAGAACATGCTTGGGAACCGCTTGACCACTAAGCAAACTCCAAAGGATGGTGTTCCTGTTACTAAGGTTGGTTTGAGCTATTTGTAGTGTATATATAT